CCGTCCTGACCATGAGCAGGGTTCCGATGGGATGTGGTAAGCTGCAGACGCGACATCATGAATGAAGTCGACAGAGCCATCAGTATAAATGGCCGTAAACGAGGAATGCCGAGACGTCATCACCTCCTCTGTCAGGGCTCGACTAACCACACAGGGGTGTCGTGATTTTCCGTGGAAACCCGGGATGTCCTCGTAGATGGTGAACGGGTGCTTGCTCCACGGGGAGTCAACTGGAGGAGAATGGACGGAGGGTATGAAGCCGAGAGCCTCAACTAGAGAGGTGCAGTGACCGCCATATTGTGAAAGGTGACGCTGTTGCATGTCAGTAAACAGCGAGACACCACTGGTCGACTCAGCAAGCCGAACGAGATGATTAAGAGCACGGTTCACAGCGTGTAAAGCTACCGGCATCTCTCGGCCTTCAATCCACGTTGCATCGATTCGGGAGTACGAGGGAAAACCAAGAGCCATTCTTATTCCGGCTCGGTGGCATCGTTCTAGCTGATCCCATAGAGATCGCGTAGGCGGCAAATATGACGCTGCATAAAGAATGCGGGAAAGGTTAAGCGCCCGGTGCACGCATAGTAGGGCTTTAGGGGACGATCCCCACTCAAGTCCACGAAGTCGACGAATGAGAGATGTCGTCATCGCCGTCTGACGTACAAGATTCGTTACGTGCCGACGCCAACATAATCGGGAATCAAGATCGACCCCCAAGTATCGATAGCTACGCACGCGCGGTACTCGAGTCCCACATAAAGTAAGCCGCGGAAATCCATGACGAAAGGGGCGGCGGGAACAAGCGAGCACAGCTGTTTTTTGCGCTGAGACGGAAAGTCCGAGGTCTTCTAGCATGTTTGCAACACGCGCGAGGGATATTTGCATAAAGGGACGTAGAATGCGTCGATCAGAATGGGAAGCCCACAAACAGATATCATCTGCATAGATGATCATACCACTAGGGTGTGGTGATTTATGCATGCATAAAGGTATTGTCGTCATTACGATGTTGAATAGCACTGGACTAAGGCAACTACCTTGAGGTAACCCACGCAACAGTGGATGCACGGCTCCCGTAGTCTTGCCCAAGCAAACACTAATTGTCCTGTTGCTCAGAAACTCTTGGAAATATTTTAGCATTCCTCCTGTTATGCCAAGGTGATTCAAGCAAGCAAGAACTACATCATGTGGAACCGAGTCAAAAGGTCGTTCAACATCAAGGAACACTGCCAAAGCAGTGTCTCCTCGTGAACGAGCGTCTTCCAGCGCTGATGTAAGGCTCGCAATACAGTCAGCAGTGCAGCGTCCACTTCTGAATCCCGCTATTTCAGGTGGCAGTGCTTCAATGTCGTCAAGGTACCACTGGAGACGCGTAAGCACCAAGCGTTCTAGAAGTTTCCCAGCACACGAGGTCAAGGATATTGGGCGGTACGATGACAATTCCGACGAAGGCTTGCCTCGTTTTAAAATGGGGGTCACTACAGCATGCTTCCATTCTTGCGGAAGAATACCAGTAGTCCACGCCAAATTTAAGCGCTCGAGCAAGACGACGCGTGACTTGTCACTCAGGTTACGCAATGCTTGGTAGGTAATGCCATCAGACCCAGGAGCACTGTGGCGTTTGCATTTCCTAAGAGCCGCATCTAGTTCCGACATAGTGAAAGGATGATCCATACTCTCCGGACTCCGTGCAGGACCAGTCAGTGATCGAGGATATGAAGATCCAGAAGGGCGTTGGGGTACAATGAAGCGCACCGCAAAATCATCTGCAAGTTGTGATAATTCAATGCCAGTTTTAAGACTGAGGGCGATGAACACATCTCGAGGTGTTGGAGAGCAGCCCATACCTCTCAGTACTTTGTAGATCTTTGGCTTAGGTGTACATGGAGTTAGTGACGAAGCAAATTGACGAAATTGTCGACGGCGAAGTACGCGAGTATGGCGGAGTAAAGCTGACGTAATACGACGACAGTCTATCCAATGGGAGACCTTGCCAGATCGGCGCGCACGACGCTGAGTGCGGCGGCGAACAGCACGTAAGCGTACAAACTTCAAATCCGGGGACGGCTGAGATATCCTTAAAGATATTTTATATGTGGATTGAACGAGACATGCAGGAATAGCTTTTAATATATCCTCTGACGGCTCAAGAAAGCGAAAGTTTGCGCGAAACACGTCCCAGTTGGTTACACTGTATTGGCGACGTGGGAGGCGGGTCACTTCAGGTATATTCATCAAAATTGGAAGGTGATCGCTTCCACGTGTGTCCGCATCCAACGACCAGTACACGTCTAGATCTGGAGAAGCGAGAGTAAGGTCCAGCACGCTAGGTTCTCCGCGATGACCGAAAAATGTAGGGGAGCCGTCATTCAGAATAATCAAATCTGTTGATTCAATCTCATCTGCGAGAGCCGTACCCCGAGGCGTCGTACGTTTACTACCCCAGAGAGGATGGTGTGCGTTAAAATCTCCGCATATAAGGAGACGACCAGGAAATTGAAGACGTAGGCTACTGATGCACTTCGCATCAAAGCGACCAGTAGGACATATATATACAGACACAATGGTCATCTTAAAGGAGCGAAATATGACCGTGCATGCTGCAAATTCAGCTGTTTCTGTACACAGATGGGACACATCTTCTGCAGCTTGCTGCACACTAGAGTGAACAAAGAGTGATGCCCGTGATGAGCTGTTGGGCGTGGCCGCCGCGCTAGGGTAATAGACATAGGGCTGAATTCGAGAGCCATGTCTGAGGCGGCATTCCGAAATTGCAAGTATAGGTACCGGCTGAGATGAAAGGTAATACTGCAACTCTGCCAATTTAGAAGTGATGCTGCGGGCGTTCCATTGTAAGATAGATGGACAGGAAGCCATAAAATTAAATATGAGCAGAGTAAAAACTTTCATTGCAGAAAACTTTTGACCAGGGGCTCTATAAGTGTGATAAAGTTCAGGAGCTGGTTTGCCCATGGATACTGTAGAAGCGGGAGAAACTGTCGCGCTATGACCAGCATTTGGCGTACGAAGCTACCTAACGAGGAAGTGAGGGTGCTTGAATTTGGGAGGGACGGTATCGCCTCCTGTCCAACACTAAGAGGAGCTTGAGTGGTCGGGAGTACAGGTACGGCCTGAACTGGTGGTGACGACGGTGGGGGCTTGCTTTGCAGCGCTGCTTTGTAGCTCTGTCGCACGTTGCTCTCGCCAGAGGAGACAAGGACAGGTGCTTCCTTAGGCGGAGGCTCTGTGTCCATTAGCTTCGGGGCTTCGGCGACAAGCGAGGATGGCGGGTCTTGTTTGTCTGCAATAGGTTGTTCCGCCTGGCGTCGTCGAGAATGACGCCGTCTCCGTTGAAATTTTTCAGTTGGAACAGCAGTCTCTGTTGCAGCTTCGGCTCGTGGAGCCGCCTGCTCGGCCGTACGTTTATCAACTTGGGCTCGTGCTTCTGCGAAAGACACATTGTTCTCGCAGCGATAGCGACACACGGAGCGCTCAGCTTGCCAGAATGGGCACTGTTGGGATGTTGTTTCATGTGGTTTCTTGCAGTTGACGCAAAGAGTGCTCGAGCCTTTGCATTCCGTAGTTGCGTGAGGCTCTGCGCATCGGAGGCAAGTTAGCGACCGCTTACACACAGCCGCAACATGGCCAAACAAACCGCATCGGTGGCATTGGATGGGGTTGTTGACATACAAGTCGACGCTATGTCGAACCAGGCCGACGTAGACGTGCTCAGGAAGTGTAGGAGAAGCAAACTCAACTCGAATAGTAGTGGACTTGCCGATGCGACGGACGTTGCGGATGCCTACTGTTGAGCGCAAAACTCCGAGTATTGCGGAGTCAGAAAGGGTGCTGTCAATGTCGCGGACAATTCCAACGCTGGAGGCCTTTCCACGAGGCTCGAAAGCACGCACTTTCATACCGCAAAGCGTGGTCTGGCCAAGGAGAGTACGTGTCGTCTGCCCATTCCGCGTGTCAATCGCTAGGAGATTCTTCCGCCTGTTAAAGCGCACCTCAATAACGCACGAAGGCACGAGCGTCTCCAGAGTGGACGTGAGGCGAACCGAAGTGATGGTGTCAATTCTTACATCTTTGTCCACAGGAGTGAAAAGAACTACGAGACCGACAGTGGGCTCGGTTTGGGTGATGATGGTCTGCTCGCTAGAACCAGAGCCTTGACTTGGGCAGCGTCTCTTTGTTCCGCGGACGACATCCTGGAACGCACCTTGATTGTCGTCGGCAATTGAGCCCGAAACGCTGGCAAGTTCTTCGTCGTCAGGCGGGAGCGGTTCCGCCATGGCGGCGACTAAGGACGTTGAAATTTCCATGCCTTGCCGGCTGGAGTGCCGCGCAACGGGCAAGCCAGAACCTTGCAAGCCAGCAAGAACTGCTTATGATGAAGTGAGAGAAAACAAAAATACTCACTGGCGATGGGCAACGTAGTAGCAGTAAGCAGAGAAAAATGGAGCGAATGGAATACACGTCCGCTATGTGACTTTCTCTTCTTCCACCCTCCGCTTTTTGGGGGTTTGCTTTATGCAATGTATGAGCAGTATTTGCAGCAGACGTACGGGCTTTCGCCTATCTGTTTCGCCTCGCACGCCCCCAGGACACAGTTCGCTCTTTGTGCTAATAAAGATTATTATTATTACCGAGTTATGCGTTTTTCGCCCTTTGGATAAGCCGCGGCTTTTATGCGAGGTACTGTAATACACGGGTGGATCTGGATGAATGCGTATCGTTATTTATAAATTCCAACCCGTGCAGCTGCTGTTTGCGAGAAGGATGTTTTCTCCGAGATTGGCACAGCGCCCAGATTCCTTCGTGACTTCGGATTGAATAAGGAGCCCAACATCCGTTCTCAACGAAGAGCGTTGCTCTCAGCCGGAATTTCCCGTCGGTGCCGCACGTAATCCCGCCGCAGCTCCGCTAAGGTCCGCCCAGACGCCTCCCACGCACGACGTCACCAGTTCCGTTCCGACTTTTCAAGCGGCGCTCTTGTCTCTTCCGTGCGTTCCTTCGGCCGTCCGCTACCATGGTAGACGTCATCCGCTTCGACTGTCTTCTAGTGTTCATCGCCGTCATTTCGGCCCTCGTTGTGAAAGCTCAGAGACCGACCGGAGACTGCCAAGCCCAGCCACAGTCTCAATTCATCGGAGACAGGTCGTCGTGCACGTTTACCAGGCTCGTCGACAGGGACCCCAGAAGGATTCCCTCGGAGATACCTACGGTGAGCTGCAGGTGTCCCGATAGCCTGTGCAGCCTGCAGGGGGACTTTCGGTGCCGTGAGGTGAAAGAGACGTTTCCGGTGGTGTACAAGAGAGGACTCCTGTCTCGATATAAGAGCGGTACCGTTAACGCGACGGTCGCTTGCGTGTGTGCCGTCAACAGGAGCATCCGAGCTGCGGGAGCCAACTATAGGATCGCAGACGCAGGAAAACGTGGAGACAAATATCTGCTCTTGAAAGCGTTAGGACACAGGCAGGCTGCTGGTGAGCTCCTGGCGTGAACTGCGAGAACTGGAGCGGACCACCGGGGACTTCACATTCTACCCGAGTGTCACTTGACTTTTCATTATAATTGACAATGTCTTTCAGACTCTTTAAATTAATAGTGCCCAAAATGACGATTTCAAACACCAGAGTGCAAGGGCAGATTTCTCCGACTCTAAAAAAACGGAACATCGATACGAGAAAAGTTTGGAAGAAATCACTGGCCATCTAAACATTCCTTTAGAGTACTTATAATAAAATCATCGCCGGAATTTCGTGCGTAGAAGTTTCTTTTTAATTAAAAGTCACAATCAAGGCTGTACTCGAATTTGGGGCGTCTCTCAGCGTCCCGCAAGAGCGCATAAATAATGTGTTTTCAATCCTTTCACTATACTATCATTGAATGCCACTTACACCCCTGCCACACGGCAATGTTAATGTAATTTCCATCGAATGAGGCAATTGCAAGCATGGCGTCCAGATTTATCCCCCATGCGTTCAAGCACGTCCAGCATGCGCGTGAAGGCAGCTTTGACAGGCTTGCAATTTCACGTGCTTTCTCACACGAGCAGGAATATGGCAGCGGCTAGATGCCCTGTTTGCAATCGTCTTTATTAGCGCTAAATTAGCGCGCGCCTCTCCTGCCGCACTGCGGTGCACACGCAAAGCTTGTAGTTAGAATGGCGAGCTCATTGGTCGATCACATAATCTGTTCATAACCTAAAGAAAACTTCCAGCCTTTCCACTCTGGTGAAGAAGGAAGACCAGCGGAGCTGTACAATGGAAAGTAAAGGCCGGCCGCAAGTCGGCAAGCCACAGTGGAAAGGCAGCCGCCATCTATGAGCGACGGCGGCAATCAGATACGAGGCTTGCCGCCGTCCCTCATAGATGGCGGTAGGTGTCCAGAGTTCGGTGTCTTCATTTCTTTGTGGGGTACACGATCCTGGGGAAACTAGCCCTTAACAGCACCGCTGTAAAAAGAAAAATGCACGAGTTTGTTTTCTCAACGCATTAGCAATCGTCACAAAAAGAAAATGAGATAGAAAAGCGCTGCGTTTCTACAAGATCAAGCTCCAGGATTTCAACGGCCCTGCCAAGCACGCGCGCTCGTGCAGTAGAACCATTGTTCAGGCAGCGACACACGCTCCCGTTTGTAGATTCGACCTCGCTTAAGAAGCCATGGCCGGGTACCGATTATATGCTGCAAACGTTCAATATTTTGACGCTCTGGGTTTGACAACGTTCCGGGTTTGAACTGTGCCCATGATTCTACACTATAGAGTGACTACCCAAATGTGCACCGTGGCATTGATTCTCACAAGCCCAAGTCGAATGCACACACATGCTGCATCGGATTATCGTCACAAAGGGGCGATCTCTGTGTCCACCTCGACACTTCGATCATCACGACGTCGTTATAAAGGGTCACGAGAGGCTGAAAAAATAAATATGGTCCTCTTTTGTGTTTAAAATTATATGGCGACAAAGCTTCTGGGTAAGAAGTTTTGTTTGCGACTATAATTTGGTCACACCATGCCAGATATGCTTGTGTAAAACTAGAAACGTGCATTTCGATCTAATACTGTTTCACGGTCCATTGAAACGAAGCTGGAACAATATTAAGCGCATGCTAAGTAAAATGTGAGGAATTCGCGACGGCCATTGTGGTCGAGTTTGTGGAAGGAGCCCTTCAGAGATCGGATGATACCGTCTCAGGAAAGTAAGTGCGGATATCTCGTCGGCCGGATCCTCCGCACCTTGTCGTTTGTCGGCGCCGCGTCCTGCCTAGCTGTCCTTGCGCATCTTCAGAAGGCACCGAAGCAAATCTTGAAATAGAATTTGGTTTATCGGCCGATTTTCGTTGAGTTCTGTAAGAGCTGGGTGTAACGTGTGGTTTTCACAGCCGAGTGTAACGTTTGGGTGTAACAGCCGGCAGTAAGAGGGAACGAAAAGCCGATAACGAAAAGCGTTACGACCATAGGAAACCGTATAAAAAGACGGCATGATTTTGAAGTCACCCCCTAGAGATTATGGGCCAAGTGCTTTGCCGACTGAGCTATCCAGGGTCGGCACTCGGAACACGCTAAGGCGAATCGCGATTTTTGTATGTCATGCAGCGTCATATCTCACGTCGTGTGTCAGTTCTTTTTACGTTGAAGGATTCATGTCTAAAGTCTACCTAATCGCTCCAAGATACCGAAAAACGCTTCGGACTTCACAGCTTTAGAACGAAAACAAAACTTGCCCAATAATGTCTCGTTTTAGGCCTGAATATATCCTGCGCTGGTACAGCATATGGCGGCCATCGAGGCTATGCGCTGTTGCTAGAAATGCGGTGACATGACCTGCGCTGATGTCACACCAGCAGCCATTCAGGTGGGCGTACTGCCGAGCGCGTACCTATTTTTGCATTATACAATTCGCACGACCGAATGCTTTTTGGTCCTAGGAACGACCATTACGGGGGTGCAAAAACGTAGAACTTACAAGCCACGTATTCAAGCATGAATTTGGAACATGGCCCATAATATGCCCCAGTGATTCTATTTATCCCGGCAATTAATCCTTTTGTTTTTAGTTTCTAAAATGTTCGGAATAGTAAAACAAGATACCGACGCCTCTGGCATTGCCAGAAATTGATAACAATAGTTCAGCATTGCGCGAATCGCCGTTTTGAGCGCTCATTCATGACGTCGATCTTTCAAGCAAAACCTGGAGCGCCGTCGAAGGGAACGCCCGAAACGGCGAACAAGGAACCAGTTGTAGCAGACGACGGAGGTGGCGAAGAAAGCAAGGTCGAGGGAGGAGAAGGTTTAGACAGAACTTCGCGCGCGGTCTTCTGGGATTTTCGCAAGTCACGCCACTGCGGTGGCGCTGCCGTCGGCATTGCGCCCAGGCGCATTAAAAAAAAAAAAAAAAAAAAAGGACTGGCGGATTTGAATGTTTATTAAAAAGAAGATAAGCACGTGTGTTATTAAAAAAAAAAAAGTTCAGCATCTTTATGATGATTACAGTAGTACGGCGTCTCTGCGTGAAACCAGTCCGGAGGCTCGAGGACTGGGAGAGGGGCGGCACGACCCGAGCTTATGCGTTTCGGTTGGCTAAAACGAGGCTGGCGCTCGCATATACGCGGGCCTTCTTGACACGCGCTGTAGGGTCGCCTCCGGTCGGAAACAGGCGAATGTATCTGCGGTAGGCTCCTGCATAAACAGTGAACAAAACCGCATGGTTATACAACGTGCGGCTAGAACGCCGACTCAAGAACATCAATGAGGCTAAAACCAGGAGGCTAACGCCTTAGTCACACTGCTCGTACAACATACAAACGTCACGGCGTTCGCTGCAAAACGCGATGACCGAAGTATCTGGGGACACGGCTCATGCACATAAGAAGCATATGTTTGTTTCGTACGTTTGAAAGACGCTTAGAACATGTCCGCGGACAGTTTTCCTATGACCGATGTGACAGGACCGACAAGCAAGGAAGAAAGAGGCCCCAGAGAGCGCGTGCAGACTGTCTTTTGTATGATGTATTTGCAGTGTGACCACAAACATAAATACGAAAGGATAACCGGTCTGCCCATTTAAGTAAGATATGTTTTTAAAAAGACAGGGATGCGTACTTTTGGCAGCCTGCATCTTTATGGGATCCAGGCCAGGCTTGACATGTCTCCGGTGCCTTTTTGCGCCGCGACGTCGGGAGGGTGCACCCGTAACGCTTCGACCCAGGAGTTCGTCCAACGTCCAGATAGATGCCAGGGCGGCATTCCAGAACTTCTGGTCGCTGGGGGACTCCATCATAGCTTCGTAGTCATCTTGGTCCAGAGTCACGTTTCCGCCGAGTTGTACCTGCGACCGGGAAGCAAACGAACCGTATGCATGAACGTACCAACCCGGAGGGAAGGGCAAGGGGGGCGCTTCCCCCCCCCCCCCTCAAGTTCTCAAAGTGAGGGGGGGGGGGCAAGCCATGGTGTTTTGCCTCCCCCCTGAAACAGCCGCCACTGGGCAGGGCAAATACTGTCCGGCGGCGCCCAAAGGATACTAAGGGCACCACCCCCTGGCCCGGGGGGGGGGGGGGGGGGGGGGAGGGTGTCTGGTTTGCCCCCCCCCCCCCCCCAAACACACACTCAAAAACAAGTTGGTACGCCACTGACCGTATGCGACGGTAATCGATGGTAACCGGAGTGCCCCGAGCGGCACGCCACCGGCGCCGCGCATGCGGAGTGGGGTCTGGTCATGGAGCGCCGCCTCACGCCCGCGTCAACAAACCATTGGAGTGCCATCTTGTCAACGTCGGTTTGAGTCCCCGCTCTCTTTTTTTTTTTTTTTTTGCGGTGGAATTGTTGATTTTACGTTTTCCGAGCAATGTCTTACTAGTTTAGCGTCCCGAGCGAAATAAACCAGGCTCGTTGTACCGCAAAACTTTGCGCAAAATATTTTGACGTGCGGCGATTCATTTTGCGTAAACACCGCAGAATGGACGCTAAAGCCTGATTCACGTGATGAGATTCTGCTTGCCACTTTGGGTCGCAACGTCGTTTGGGCTGCAAAAGCATGAACGACAGCTGCGATGCTTGACGTCGATACTGAAAGTCGCAAGCAGAATCGGATCAAGGGGATCAGACATAACAAGTCGGTGATGACGACTGGTCGCAATTATCAACATCTCCATGTATCTACTGGTTATACGGAGCATACTTACCCCAGATAACCTTCAAACTTAAAAGATATATTTTGAGGCCTGGACTTTCTTCTTCTCGCAACATTTGGTCTACTGGCCACTGTCATTTGAACGAGTAGACGGCTGTTTGAACGATTAGAGCGCTGTTTGAGCGTGAGGACGCACTGAACGTTGTCCGCGGATGCATGACCGGAAAACCTAACTGTTTTCCCGCGTTCATATCGGAACAAAACAATTATATCTGACGACAACAAATATCCGCGAGTTCGACCTAAAAGTGCTTATCGCAGAAGCAATCGTGGTCCGTCGGTATCTGGTCTTCTTTTCACGGCACCTATCTAGGTTCCCGAACGAAAGAGTAGGCAGAAAACAGATGAAAAGTGACATTTACACCTCTCTTTGCACTTTCAGAATTGCCCAGTCGAGACTTTTCGACGAGAACGCAGGTTTTAGTCTGGAGTTTTTCCAAAACAGCGAGGGAATGCTTGTGCCGCATGGCGATTTCCGCCCACGCCTCATAACCGGAAGGGCGAGCGAAGCGCCACCACCGCAAGGTGACGTGACAGAGACGAGT